CCCCAATCGAGGCGAATATTAGGGGGGGAGTGGTCGTGCCCATAATGCCCACTAATTATAACACATTACAAATGCAATTAGGCGGCTACACAATTAAAAGTAACGAGCAGGAGAACTAATTATATATGCGATAAGTGTCCATAAACTATAAGCCATCCACAAATTGAAAGAATACGGCAGCAGGGAGTGTGGGCCAGTTGTGGGCCAGTTGTGGGCCAGTTGTGGGCAGTGCATCCAGCATCCTCGCCGTCAAAGCGTAGTCGAAACTTTTGTCGGCCGTGGACCTGCATGAAATTGCTTTGCATCCCAAAGCCAGGAAATATGCTTAAAACGTGGCCAGTGATTTCAAATCGTCCTGCACACACACACACACACACACACACACATGCCAGCACATGCTAACACAAAATGTCATAGCACAGTTGACTGGACTAATTTGCCGGAAATGACGTTTTCGGTTATAGAGAACGGAAGTGAGGTTATCTATGCGAATTTTTGGACGATTTTAGGATGAGGAATGGGCTCGAGGTGTGTGAATGTGTTGGGGGTGTGTAGCACGAAATATTTCAAGTCCTGGCACGATACGTTTTTCCAAAGTGACGCCTGCTAATTTAATTAATTTCCACCTGCCGTGGCCCCCGTCCACCGTCCCCCGTCCACCGTCCCATCCGCCTCTCAATCGGCAATACACGTAATTGAAACATTCCTTGACCAACAAAATAATAAAAGAGTCTCCAAATGGGGAAAAAGTTACTTCTGCCGCAATTATATGGCACGTCTCCACTAATTAATTACGCCTTTTGGTTCCACGTTCTGGGCTCCTGACGGCACTCCGGTCCTAGTTGCTACATTTGCCGCTGAGGCTTGGTGGTGGCTCATTGGGTGGACAAGTTTAAAATGTCCACGTTTAATTAAATATGGCCCGGGCCCGGGCCCGGTCCCGTGCCGTGCCTGGTCCCGGGTCCGGCTCTATAATTAATTTCGGCACTGCAATTTTCTTTAAGGCAAAGAATGCGGCACAAGAAAAATGAACTGGACAAAGCTGAACCAAATTAGAGCAAGACATCTGCACGGCTTGGTCCTGCGAGTGCGAGTGCGATTGCGAGTGCGAGGAGGCTTCTCCGCTCAGCCTCTCTCGGGAGAGTGAGAACTCCAGCTTGGAGTCAGAGTCGTCGGTGGCCAGGGCATTAAAGTGTCAATATCCATTAGGCAGTCCTGATTGTTTAAGCTGCTTTACGCCAACTTCTTTGCTGATTTTCTTTCTCTGGCCCAAGTTTCTTGACACGCTCTGTTCTCTCTCACTCCCCACTCCTCCCCCTCTTTCCCAGCCGCCCGCGCACTCTCTTTTGTCTGTGAAGTCTTTTATTGCCTGCAAAGCCAGGGCACAATGACTCCTTTTCTCGTTCTCTCCATTGTTTGTTCGTGTTGTTGCTGGGTTCATTGTTTCAAATAAGAAATGACTCGAATTGGTTAGAGCGAAATGGTTAGGAATGCAAATTAGTGTGGAGGGCAGTACGACAGCAGGATATGCGCGGGCGGGGAGAGTCGACGGGGAAAATGGATCAAATGATAGTATGACAAAAGCCCGAATGCCCTATGGCCATGCCATGCCATGAGACAGTCACATTTAAAACGACTCTAAGGTTATGAACTTTTCACAAAGAAAACCAAGAAAAATATGAAAGGATCCCAACATATCGGGTTCCAGGAATGACAGAGAACATTATCCGCTCCGGATTCGTTTACCTATGGATACTCTTATTCGACTAGTGACCCCACGCGACCCCAGCCCAACCCAACCCAACCCAACCCAATCAATCTGCAAAGTTAAAAAGAAATTACCACTGCTAATCTTTGTCATCTGCCGGCGTGCCTGATTTGTGATTACCTGTTCAGGCGAGAGCTTTTGTGTCAAAGAGAGAGCAACCGATTGGGAGAGCGAGTGAGCGTGGCAGCCACATGGACGCAACGCTAATTAGCAATTACACAACCTCGCGGTATGTTCTACATCTATCTTTTGGGTGGGTTTTGGGCTTTGGGTTTTCGGCTTTGGGCTTTCGGCTTTCGGCTTTGGGCTTGGCTTGGCTCCAGTCAGTCAAGCGGCAAGCCATTCGGTGATTTATATTTAAGCGAAAACTTTTAACTCTAACCAAAATCCCCTTGGCCATCCCGACGGACTCCCATTTGTGTTGTTGCTTAGCGTTGGTTAGGTTATGTTGGCTGCGGCGCACAACCCCTAAAAGCTAAGCATTAGCTGCGTGGGCTGTCGAAACTTGTGGTTTCTTTCAATTAACCTTTCATCTATTTAACATGCATTATAAAATTAGACGCGCTCTCTTGGACCACAGCAGCAGGAGCAGCAATGCTCGTAGAAGGATTAGAGCGAAAATTTGGGGGGTTTGGGGTTGGTCTGGCCCTAATGTATGCAAAACCGCAGCCTCAAGACATGACATTGTTCTTGGTAGCGGAACGGGGGTGGGCGTGGAGGGGGCGTTGGCGTTGGCGAAACGAAGGCCGCTAGCTCTGTTGATTATTTCCGAGCCACCACAGCGTATGCTTAACGACCAAACGAAACCAGCCAGACACAAAGCAGTGCTTGAAAAGTCTTTAACTTCATATATTTTACGGAAACAAAACTAATGAACAATTACTTGGTGTATGCACATTTCCGCCAAAATGTCCACCATGCCAAAAAACATTCAAAATCAATAAACACCGATTTCCGTATACTTTTGTCCAGGTAATAGTTTATAAATTTATTGAAAGTGTTGACTAAATTTACTAATTTACATATAAATTCATTAACTTTGATTTTCAATATTTTTGTGTTTTTTTTTTTTTATTTTCCTTTACTGTTATCTCCAATAAGAAAAATAGTTCTTGATAAAAGTTTTTCCTCAAAGTCGCTCTTACGTATTGAACAACCAAAAAAAAAATCATATAAAATTAGCCCAATCTCGGTTAACGGTATATTATTAAGCCGGGAACGTAATGCCCGTAATGTACGTGGATTTATAACAAAATATAAGGATATGTTTTTACATTTATTCACTTGGAAAATAAACACTAAAATATTTAACTTATTAGTATGAAAAAATGTTGTACAGATAGTTCCAGCCAATTCCCAAAATTGTTCAATGCCCAAGTATGTATATAATATTGATAATAAAATTATCACTAGTGTTTCTTTTATAAATAAATTTGTATTGTTTATTGAGTCTTAAGAAACGTAAATCTTGTACTATTAGGATAGTAATAGTTAGTTTTATATATAAATATATAGTAGCTAAATAATGTAACTTTTGTATAATTCCAGTAAATAATTGATTGAATTACATTATTTCTCATTATTCAGAAAAGCGGGAAATTCAAACACTTTTTGCCATTCACAATGTGCTGAACTGTTTTCAACGATCTGGCAGCACTGCAGAGTCTCTCTTCGTGGAGGGACTTTTCATCGCAACAATATCTTTTTTGTTTAAACCATGTTTTAGACACAATTCAATAAAAGAGAGTTCTTAAAATTAGCATATCTTATAGGAAATTGATTCATTTATAGGCTAAAACTATGTGTTCAGGACTGAGACTCCCCATTAGCTAGTAATATTCAACCGAATATCAAAATCGTGGAATATGATTTCCGATCATTAACGGAGAGCGGGTAACCCATTGACGACCGTTGCATATTAGAATATTAGCGCAGCTTATGTGAAAGATATCTTATTAATTTGTTTTTTGAGGTAAGGAAAATGATGAATATACTTGGAACATTTACGACCAGTTTTAATTTCCGCGGTTGAACTCCAGATACTCAGCTATTTAAATAGAGGACGTTTAGTGGGATAATACGTTTTCTTCTTCGGTATATTCACGGTATATTTCGGTATATTCTGAGGGCCAGTCGGTATATAAATCCGCCGTCACTAAATAGACGTGGCGCTGTCATTCACCCGCGTTTCCCCCGCGGTCCCACAAACGAACAGCACCGCCGCCACAAAATCATGTAAATCCCTTTGTTTACCTTTTAGATCGTTTTAACATTCGTTTTTGTGCACAAAATGAAGTTCGCTGACGTATTGCGTCGCCTAGACGCGTACCCCCGCACTTTGGACGATTTCAGCGTGCGGACAGTGGGCGGCGCCGCTGGTAAGTGTTTTTCAAACATCAACTTGGTGTCGGAAGAAGCATAACACAACCGACCGGCACGGTGTTTTTCCGTTTAGTGACTATCATAAGTACCAGCATCATAAGCCTGCTGATCTTCCTCGAGTTTCTAAGCTACATGCAGCCCGCCTTGAACGAGGAACTGTTTGTGGACACCACAAGAGGGCACAAGTTGCGCATCAATTTGGACGTCACCCTGCACAACTTGGCCTGCAATTATATATCCCTGGATGCGATGGACTCGTCTGGTGACACACACTTGCGGGTGGACCACGATATTTTCAAGCATAGGCTCGACCTAAAGGGTGAGCCGCTCAAGGAGACGCCAATTAAGGAAATTGTGGCCGTCTCGCCGCCGAATAAGAATGTCACCTGCGGTAGCTGCTACGGGGCCGAGCACAACGCCACGCAGTAAGTAAAGAAAACACCAAAATGACTCACTGCGAAACTAATTTCAAACGAATTTTTGCTAGCTGCTGCAACACATGCGAGGATGTTCTGGATGCCTACCGCCTGCACAAGTGGAACGTCCAAGTAGACAAGATCGAACAGTGCAAGGGCAAGTACAAACGCACCGATGAGGACGCCTTCAAAGAGGGCTGCCGCATACAGGGACACCTTGAGGTGAATCGAATGGCGGGAAGCTTCCATTTTGCGCCCGGCAAGAGCTTCTCTATACGCCAGTTCCACATACATGACTTCCAATTTAGCAATGTTAAGCTCTCCCACACAATCAACCATTTGTCCTTCGGCGAAAAGATTGAGTTTGCCAAGACGCATCCCCTGGATGGTCTGCGGGTGGACGTTGCAGGTGAGTTGAGTACACATCGGGAGGGTTAATTTTAAATCTCTATTGCAATAACTTAACGTAATTTAAACAAGGCTTGAATAATGATTAGTTTATGTGTTAATAGTCTAAAACTTTGCCAAAAATGCCAGCAGAAGCAGAGGCTGCTGCTCCCAAGGGGCTGCTGTGGGCTCAACAGCGTATTCCTGTACCAATGGCCATGAAAGTACCAAAAGTTCCGCCGCCCTGTATCATCACTTTGCCCACATTGTTGATAAGCTCACGTCCACGCAGTCCGTATCTGCAAAAGCGAGTTTCAGTCGTTAGTTAGCCGGCATAATTACATAACAAAGTATCTGAGCTTGCGTCACTTTCCACGGTGGATCGTTCAAAAGCCAACTTACCGGAGGGCCGAGAAGCCACCGAACAGTGCTCCACTGGCCATGCCGACGCAGAAGCCAATGATAAAGCCACTCTTCATCTTATCAAAGCATGTGGGTCCCTTCTGGGAGAAGGAGCTCGAGGGCAACGGCATGCCGTGTTCTGTTTATTGTCCGTATTTGCGTTTTGTTTGCGAGGAAATCAAAGCCGCGAGCGTCGCTTCTTCGATTAGTATTTTAAAAACGCGCTGAATTTCTCAACAATCCGTATATTTTCGTTATATTTTTATTTATTCGGATTCGAAGTGATGAACTGAACCGACTGGTGTGACTGTGAACGTCCGTATGTGTGTGCGTGTGAGCTGTCAAATGGGGCAAGGGTTGCCACGATGTTTACTAGCGCTGCCACTGAAACATCTCTCGTACAGTTCCAGTGTTGCCAGAATTTCAGAGTCAAAACAAGCTAGATTTGAAAGAAATGAGCGATAACTGAAAAAAGTCGTCCAATTTTTTTAAATTAGATGTAAATTTTTTGATGGCAAATTGTAGTTTTGGCAACATTTGTCATTTTTACGCAAGCAATATCTATAAAATTTACAACATGGTGCCAATTTTTTTGAAATTACACTGTGCGACAAGACGAAAACTTTTGAATATACTGGATGGTCTGTATGAGTAGAATCTTGGAATATATCCCCAAAGTCTTTTTTGCGGTGCCGATTTGAAAATTATTTATATCGAGCCGAAGTTGAAGTTTTTTTACCCTTTGCAAAATCTCTTTAATTTTTCTATTTATATGCCCGATACTCAAAGAGTAGAAGGAAGCGTTTCCGACTCCATAAAGTATGAATAAAACGAAATCGCAGAATCACAGAGAATGGCCGCATCTACCAGATTGCCGATCTGGATCAGATCAGATCATTATATAGCCAGAATGAAATATCAATTTTCCGTGGCTACGCCGCCCCCTTCTATTCTCTCTCTCTTGCTCTTCTTCGTGCAGTGTGCGACCCTAGCGGAGGGAAGCGAGATAGCAACACAGGTACCGTTGTTGTGAGAAAGAGACAGATGTAGCGGAAAAATGGAAACAGAACAAATTTCAAAATTCTAATCAAATAGGTCATTAGGTGGGAAGGGTTTAATGGAAGATAGATATAGCCTGAAATATGCTAATATGAGAGCGCTGTACAGCTCCGAAACGACTAACTGAGTACCTACTCTATTTTTTCCAGAAACCAAAAGCGAAATGTTCAATTATTACTTAAAAATTGTACCTACACTATATATGCGCCAGAGCGATGGCCAGCCGATATACACAAATCAGTTCTCCGTCACGCGATATCGCAAGGATCTAACAGACCGCGAACGGGGAATGCCGGGCATATTCTTCAGCTATGAACTGTCGCCGTTGATGGTCAAATATGCAGAAAAACACAAGTCGGTCAACTAGCATAGCATTGATCTTAAAGCGTAAAATATTCATTTGGTGAATTTCTATTTCCAGCTCCTTTGGCCACTTTGCGACAAACTGTTGCTCCATTATTGGCGGCGTCTTCACCGTGGCCGGCATTTTGGCTGTCCTGCTGAACAACTCCTGGGAAGCAATACAACGCAAGCTGGACGTGGGCAAACTGAGCTAACAACAACTAGAATCTCCTTTACAGCTTTATTGCAGCTTTACAACGCCTATCTCATTTTAAGCCCGACAAATCTATAATTAAAAGTGCTTCATTTGATAGAAAGACAAATAAGATGTTATTCTTTTAAGTTGTTCGATTTCCAACAGATAGAAAACCGGAGGTATTCGAAAAGTATTTGGCGTTGGCCTCCGTTTGTGATCGTTCGGCCGCCTGCGGGTTCACAATCTCCAGACCCTGCAGCGGCGTAAATGCCACACTAGAGGCCGTGCCAGAGATTTGACGCTTGACTGTTGTGTTGCCGCCATAGACCTGCTGCTTCTGCAGGTTTTTGTGCAGGGTCTTGCTGATGCGCACCTTAGTCTTTTCATCCACCTGGGGCAGGCGTATACGGCCAGTTCCAGTCTTTCCAATTGTGCCACGGGAGTAGCCCAAGTCGCCCTGGTAGGCATCCTCTTCGATCTGTAATATGAAAATAAAGGTTACATCAACTCCAAATGATTCTCGGAATCCACCTACATCACCAAAATTCATGCGGTTCGCCTGCTTCCGGAACTCAGTCAGGGCATACCGCTCCTTCATCTTGCGCACGCGTTTTCCTCCACGCTTCTTCTTGCTTCCCTCGATGGGCTTCGGCAGCGGCTTGATGAACTTCACCGGCGGTGGCTCCTGCAGCTTGTCGAGCTTCTTTTCAATTTCCTCTTTGAACCGCAAGCCAATCTCGCCATGGACGCTCTCGTGACAGGCGTCAACACGAGCGGCCAGCACGGCTTTGGCAGCCACCAACCTAGCCGCCTTGCGTCGTAAATCCGGAGCCGTGTCCTGGACAATCTGCGAGTAATAAACATACCCAGTATGCGGCAGCATCTGCGTCTGTGAGAAACCCGAAAGGGTTTTCCTTTGTGAGCCCAGGACCTGAACATTGCAGGCCGGCATCTTGGAGATCTTGGTGAGCCCGCCAGCGATTCCCAACAGTTTGGCAGCCGTGGAGGCACCGATTATCATGGAAAGATTTGGGGCTATGAAGGTCATGCGACTCTCAACGTATTCATAAATTTTGGACTTGAAGTTGTTTAGCTCAATGGCCATCTCACAGGCCTCATCAATTTTGGCCTTCTCCGCCGGCGTGAGCATGGTTCCTTGTGTCGTGGATGCTGTTACAGACACAATCATAATCGTGGCTTGCGTGAGTATGACCTGCAGCATCTCGTTGCTTTTCACCTGGTCCAGGTCATTGCCCAGCTCCTTGACCGCAAGCAAATACTCGATTTCCCCGACGATCAGCGAGTCTAGTTCTGGGAAGCGTTTCTGATACTTCTCTTTGGTGAATTTGTGCACGATGGAGATCTCATTATCGATGTCCACGGCAATGGCATTGGCCTCCACAATCAGACAGTATTCCGGGTCGGACTCCACGCTGCCCAACATTTCGGCGGCGGTCCGCTGGCGACTGGCGTAGTGCTCGATCTGCTGGAGTGTGTCCTGCAAACGCTTCGAGTCGCGTAACTTGCACAGCTCGCGCACCGACTGCACTGTGACATCCACGTCCATCAAATTTGGAACCGGCTTCAAAAGTTTTTCCGCCAATTCCTGTGGGAGATACAAATTTAAAACTTGCACGTTTGGGGCATTTTACTTATCCCTACATTTTCATCGTCGGCATTCCCCATTTCAGTATCATCCTCATCCTGATCATTGTCGTTGTCCTCCTCGAGGTCAGCCAGTAGTTCGTCAGCTAGCGACATTTTATTTTCTTACTTTTCTTACAAAATTACTTGAATTCGTGAAACTTTATTTATTTTTGCGTCCTACACGGCAAAAATCGTAATGTTACCAGTCAGCTGTTTTTTGCGCAGTGTGGCAACGCTTTTCTGTCATCTGGATCCAGTGCTGCCAACTTGTTATCAGGAAAAAAGCAGTTTCTAACATGAACACGAAAAAAAAAGCTGAACATTATCCAAAAAAATGGGAAATAATGGTGTTAACAAATTTGAATCAAAGAGATATTTAATGTGTATTTTATAGAATTTTCATAAACTCATCCAGCTCTGTGGGGATAGCTTCTGATTTGCATTCGTACAACATGGTCGTACCAATTATGCGTAGGTATGTATGTGGCACTTCGTAGTGAAAACAGCAAAAATGTTAGCCCCTTTTTAGAGTTTAGAAATTATTTGGTAAACTAGAGGTGGTATTGATGAGCCGGCCACACTTTCACACTTTTTATGTAACCGGTGGCAGTATAAAAAGGGCTGAAAAAAGTCCAAAAAATGTCTACAAAATCAAGAACTCCCGCTTCCCTCAAATATTTCCCGCATTGTGTCTGAAAAAAGCCAGATCTTACGAGAAAACAGCGAAATCGGCAGCACTGGCTGGATCCACATTCGCACATTTGTGTGTCCATCTGGTAACGCCACGCAGATTTTGGCGCATATTCTTGGCGTCTGCGAATCTTCTTGATTTTACCGGGAACTGGGATCTATCATTTCGAAGCTGGCAGCAGGATGTCTAAGAAGCTGAATACGAGTGTGGGCGGAACGCCCACAAACACCTTGTTTAACTATTTCACCAAGTCACCAGCCGTCGACAAAAAAAAGCTTGTGCCCAGCGTAAAGGCGGAGTCAACGCCTACTGACAGAACGGACTCAGAAAAGGAGAATCTCAACAATGGCAAGAACCTGGAAGTGAAGAAGGAGACCGAGACCAAGCCTTCGGCAAAGAGGAAGCTGCCAATTTCGACTCCGTCGGATGAGGAGGAGCTTGGTGGTCGGCGCAAAAGAAAACGCATCGTTCTACCCGAGTCGGAGAGCGAAGATGAGATGGAGGAGACCAAATCCGAAGACGACTTTTCCGGCGATGAGTCTGACTATGAACCGGACGGAAAGGATGATGCTGCCAGTGAGGAAAGCGAGAGTGGCGACGATGAGGGTGAAGAGCCTATGGATGACGAAGAATCGGAAGACGATCCCACGCCCAAAAAATCCCGCAACAAGGACAAAAACCACAATAATAACAACAATGAGCCGGTGGGCCAAAAGGTTAAACTGGCTGAAGGCTCCACATTCCAGGAGAAGCTAAAAAACATCCAGAGCAATGTGAAACAGGACGCGGCCTACGATGAGATAGTGACCACTTCATCGAGCCTCGATGAGCCTGTGGTGTGGCCTCATCAGAAGCTCGAGTTCTTGCAGCCGGACAAGATTAAGGACAAGGAGGGCAGGCGCCCAGACCATCCGGACTACGATAAGAGCACCCTGCATGTGCCCGAAAAGTTCCTCAACAACCTGTCGCCTGGCGTGCGACAGTGGTGGGTTCTGAAGTCAAACAACTTTGACTGCGTTCTGTTCTTTAAAGTGGGAAAATTCTATGAGCTGTACCATGGGGATGCCGATGTGGGTGTCAATGAGCTGGGATTTACCTATATGCGTGGCGAGTTTGCTCACTCTGGTTTCCCGGAGATATCCTTTGATAAAATGTCCACAATCCTGATAGATAGGGGCTACAAGGTAAGCATCTTTGGTGGATCCTCGGATCCAAATTGGTATCATTTTTATGTAATCTTCTGCCATCCGCAGGTGGCTCGAGTGGAGCAAACGGAAACGCCCGACATGGTGACAGAAAGGTGCAAGCGCATTAAGTCCACCAAGTTCGACAAGGTCGTGGCCCGTGAGATCTGTCAGATCACGAATCGGGGAACTCAGGTTTTCGGGTCGCAGTGTAAAATCGGTCCCAATCATCAGCCCAACTACATGTTGGCCCTGGTGGAGCAAGAGGAGGGGACGTGGAGCAGGTTTGGCATTTGCTTTATAGACACATCCATCGGGGACTTTCACCTGGGCGAGTTCGAAGACGATAAGAACTGCTCTCGATTGCTCACGCTGCTCTCCCATCACATGCCTGTGCTCGTAAGTCCTGCACAGACGCCTACCATTCGATCATCTGAAATAACATCGAATCCTACCATTTTAGCTTCTCAGCGAGAAGTCAGCCCTCAGCTTGCGCACTCAACAGGTCGTACGCACCGTGCTCGGAGGAATACTGAGGGAGCAACTGCCTAGCAATGGAGCTCATGTCTGCAACGCTGAGAAGACTCTGAAGCTCTTGGCCGAGCGATACTATGCCGGAAACGGATCCGAGGACAACTGGCCGTTGGTCCTACGCACTATGCAGTCCGATTCGGATCACTTGGGTCTCACGCCCTCCGACAACTACAAGCTGGCATTGAAGGCTCTGGGTCAGTGCGTCTATTTCATCAACAAGTGTTTGCTGGAGCCGAAAGTACTGCCCATGGCTCGCTACCAGATGTATGTGCCGCCCGATCAGCTGGCAGAGGCCAAGCCAGCAGTGGTCTCCGCCCTGAGACGCTCTCACATGGTCCTCGATGCAACAACTCTGTCAAACTTAAGGATCATCGGCGAAGAACACACCCTGCAGTCCACCTTGGACCATTGCTGCACCAAGTTCGGGAAGCGGCTGCTGCACCACTGGCTCTGTGCCCCCAGCTGCGATATAGAGATACTAAAAGAGCGACAGGCAGCCATTGGAGAGCTGTTGCGGCTGCCCAGTGAGCTGCAGGAGATGCGGGCATTGCTGGCCCCCATGCCTGACTTTGAGCGTAATTTGGCGCAAATCCATCTGTTCGGCAACAAGCAGGTCAAACAGACCGGTCACCCAGACTCCCGGGCCATACTCTTCGAGGAGAAGATTTACAACAAACAGAAGCTAGTGGGCTTTATGGCAGTTCTCAAGGGATTCAATGCTCTGACCAAGCTACCTCTGATGTTCCAGCAATGTGAGACCCCACTGATCAAGAGAATAACTCAGCTGACTACTTCGGGAGGATCCTTTCCCGACCTCAGCGAAGAGCTGAGATACTTTTCCACTGCCTTCGACCACGATGCAGCTGCCAAGACGGGAGTAATTGCGCCTCAGCCCGGAATGGATGCAGAGTATGATGTAGTCATGGATCGGATAGAAGAGATTGAGAAACGGCTCAAGACCTACCTCGTGGAGCAGGAGCGTCACTTTGGCTGCCGTGTTACCTACTTTGGCTCCGATAAGAAGCGGTACCAGTTGGATGTTCCCGAGTCGCATGCCCACAAGGCCAACAAATCGTACGCCCTGGAAGGTCAGACCAAGGGAAAGAAGCCCTCGCGTCGCTACACCACCGCAGAGACCAAGGGACTGCTCAAGGACATGCAGCAAGCAGAAGATGCCAAGAACGCCGTGCTTAAGGACCTGGCCCGTCGCCTCTTCGAGAAGTTCTCCAACCATTATGAGCAGTGGAAGCAGTGCATCGACTGTGTCGCCAATCTGGATGTGTTGGGCTCCCTGGCAGAGTACGCCAGGCAACAGATGGTCATCTGCGTACCAGAGCTGGTCTCTGGAGTAGATCAGCCGTTCATCGAACTGCAGGAGGGCTATCATCCCTGTGTGAATACCTTAACCTATATTCCTAATGGCCTGGAATTGGGTACCAAAACGGAAGCCCCCCTATCCCTGCTCACTGGACCCAATATGGGAGGCAAGAGCACCTTGATGAGGGAACTGGGTCTACTGGTGATCATGGCACAGATTGTAAGTGTCTCTCAGCCTTTCGGATGGGATGGGAGCCGCATCTAATAACAATTGATTGTGATTACGTGTATTTCTCCTTTCAGGGCGCTCACATACCAGCAGCTAGCTGTCGTCTTTCCTTGGTGGATAGAATTTTCACGCGGCTGGGCGCTCAAGATGATATTTTGGCCGGGCACAGTACGTTCTTGGTGGAGCTGAACGAGACTTCTCTCATACTGAAGCATGCCACATGCCATTCCCTGGTGCTGCTCGATGAGTTGGGCAGGGGCACGGCCACATACGATGGCACAGCCATTGCCGCTTCTGTGGTCAATTTCCTAGCCAATCTCAAGTGTCGCACCCTCTTTTCCACCCACTACCACAATCTAATCGATTACTTCCACAACGACCAGAGGGTCACCCTCGGTCACATGGCTTGCATGGTGGAAAATGAGGATACCACAGATCCCACTCAGGAAACGGTTACGTTCCTCTACAAGTACACGGCCGGTGCTTGTCCCAAGTCGTACGGCTTCAATGCGGCCAAATTGGCTGGCATGCCCCAGGGCATTATAAAGCGGGCCTTTGAGGTGCGTAGTACTGTTTTTCCTCTCACATGAAAATGCATCTGATCCTTTGTGTCCTTTTATTCGCAGCTCTCCAAGAAAGTGGAGGCCATTGCCCTGCAACGCAAGATTACGGCAAAGATAGTAGCCTCGTCGGGAGAAAAGGAATTCAAGCAGCAGAAACTACATGCGTTGAAGGACCTACTACAGCAGTTGAAAATGTGCCATGTCTAAGTAACATTTGGATCATAGCAGGAGAACGAGTTATATGCGGAACTCCTTAAATTTGTTCGTATTGATTTCGTTTTAAAATGTTACAACTGATATTTTTTTTGTATTTGGCTTCAATTACTTTTCGTATATATTCCCAAAAAGCCATTGAAGGCTATGCGTTGCTTTTGAATCCATTTGTTCAGTATTTTTTAATCTAAGGAAAATGTGAATCGTTTGAGTACGAGTACTATTCTGAACTCCTTAAGCTTGCTCGAATTTATTCAGTTTAAAAATGTTCTAATTTTTTTTTTTTTGCTTCAATTACTTTTTGTATAAGCCAATATCGTTTCGACTTGTGCCCAAAATGCCATTGAAGGCTATGTGTTGCTTTTAAATATATTTTTCCAGTATTTTATAATCTAAGAGGAACTTGAATCGTTTGAAATATGTGTTCCATGTGAGGGGGAAATTCCACTAAATGTTATAATTTGTCCTACCATCAGTTGTTTATTATATCCGTCCCAAGATATTCCTTGTTCCAAATTGAAGCTTGAAATAATAAAGTTGTCTACCACAATCTTTTGTGATTGTTAAATACAATGTTCATTGTTAATTTGTAATTTTTTTTTATTTATTATTAATTTTTGTATCACAGTAAAAATTAAAAATTTAATAAGTTCACAATCAAAATACACACAGACAGATGATATTATTCCATACTTATAAATTAAATGTTATACAATAAATATAAATATTGCTAAAAGTGTAGAAAAACAAAAAAAAAATCGCTTGTATACAGAACAGAAATCATATACAATATGTTAATTGATATTGTGTGAAAAATAGGAATGGTGATTGTATTTGTATTTGTATTTGTATTAGTTCAGATATGGCTTTTGGCCAAGGACTTGCTTGTGCGAATCGGTCCTAAAATAGTTAATTGGTTAGCTAACAGGCTGGGAAACCTCGCCGAGTAGCTCCACTGCGACTAACGGTCCAACCAAGAGCCAATCTAGACAATCTAATATGTAAGCTGCAAACTCATAGAACATATATGTAAATTCAAGAAGTGCTCTCACTTCACACGCAACGTACTCGTATTTTAGGGCTATCCATCCGTCCATCCACCAGTTGTTTGCTAGCCAAAAATGCTTACAAAAAGATCTATTACACTTACAAAGCTATTTAGCTGATGGCTCTTTCCCATTCCCACTGCAGTTAAGCTAGTAAATACTCGTACATACATGTGTGGGTCAATCTACGGATAAAAACTTCATTTAACTCGCTTGTATCCCTTTGTCTCCCGTCTTTCGCCCTTCGTCTTTCATCTCGTTATGCTCTATATTGGACTTGCTGGTAGTTTAAACAACTATATAATATATAATCTATGTATGTACTGGTGGTATATCCACGTATAACTAGTCTAAGTTTCTAGGTTCTCTTATGTTTTTGTTGTTTGTTGTATTGTATATGTTACACCGATCTGCCGGGGGATCTTTTAGTCTATGGGCTAGTTTGAATACTCTGCTCTGCTGCTCTGCTGCTCCGCTGCTACGCTTTTTGATTTCCTCATGCAACGCTAGTGCTAGTTTCGAGGTCTCGTTCACTTACGGCTAGCTACAAAAAAACATTCACCTAAAACGCCGACAAAAAGGAAGCAATTCTTTACACATTCTTTAGTGGATAGTGATAGTTATAGTGATAGTGGGTAGTGATAACTACAAAACAACAACAAATCAAAGCTACACACTGATATTAAAATAGAAGTTGGATCTACGCAATGCCAAGGCCCACTATCTGGACCGACTCAAGCACTCAATCGTCGCTGATCACGTCCTTGCGCGCCTTGAAGTTCCTCCATGAGCCGTTGGTGCAAACGCCCGCGCCACGCCACCAGTCGTTGAGGTCGCCGTACCAGCGCGGCCTGCGCAGCTGCTCCTCGTTGTGGAGCGTGGCGCAGACCCGGCACCAGTAGTACGTGTTGATAAACTCACCCGTGCCCTTCCACTTGAAGTACGAGTTGTAGAGTTCGTCGTCCCCGTCGAGAATACGCAGGTATTCGGCCAACTCCTTGGGCGAGGCAAACTCATCCACGTGTATGTATGAGCGACGCGGGGCACTCACCTCGTAATCCTCCGGGCGGGCACCCATCACGATTGGCAGCACCCGCCGGTTGAGGGCATTCACAAAGAATTTCTCCGTGATGTAGTCCTTGCAGTTGGAGTTTTCGAATGCCAGGTAGAACTTGTAATCGTTGTCGAGTATCTCGAAGCATTTGTCTGCCGTACTACGCGAGCACTTGAAGTTGCCGCAGGCACCATATATGTCCACCTGTTGGGACAAGCCACAAAGGACAAGGATAGTAAGTATCTTCACGAGATCCTATCGAATCCCATATCTACCTCGATGTGTTTTTGCAGCTCGTGGGCATACTGGAGTCGCCCATTCCTGGCGCCACAATTGGAAACGAACCAGGCCACCTTCTTCGTTTTGTTGACGGCGTAGTTGTGATCCTGCTCCTGCTGCTGGACTTTGGTGTCGTAGTACTGCCACTTCTCATAGGGCGCCACGATGGTGCTGTCACGTCTGCTCGTAAAGGAAAAAAGAAAAAAAACCAAGAAGCGTATAAGTCTCAGAAAGAACAGAAACAGTGGCTAAAGAGTAGGTAGCTGTCACCTGTAGGTGGCCGTCCAGTTGATGGCATCGGGTGCCTTGACATTCTGCGTGTGATAGGGGCACTCCAGATAGTAGAGCATGCTGACCTGCTTGGCATTGCTGGGACGGCGTATTGCCGTGGGAATGTAGTGGTCTTTGTATAGGATCATGTCGGCCGTACTGGCAAACTCCCGATTGGCAGTCAGCTCGCATGTATCCACCGGACACTTGGCTCTCAGGAAGACATCGCGCCCCTTCTTCACATTCCACGGACCCAGGCCGTTGTAGAGGAGGATGGTTTTCAGCTTGCCACTGGCCTTGATTTGCTCGTAGTTGTGCGGCACGTACATCAGCTGGTTGACAATGCGGTCGCTGTGCGAATCCTGATGCGGCAGCAGCTTGGGTGCGTACCGCTTGCGTGCCCGCCGATTGCTGTAGGTCTTGGCCGGGCGTGGATGGTATTCACCATTGCGGAAGAACCAGAGCTTGGCTGTGGTCGGCTCCGGCTCCGGCTCCAGCTCCGGCTCCAGATGTTGGTCGGCGTCTATATCCTCCTCCTCTATATCCTCCGTCTGCTGACCCTCCAACGCTAAAGCCTCTGCTCCTGCTGCTTTCGAGGGCGAAGTGGCGACTATAGGCCTATCAGCTGGAGTGGAGCTAGATGTCTCAGGCCGTTTGCTGAGCTCCTCGGATCCGGCGAGGTCCGCGTCCGGTGAGGGGAATTGTTGCGCCTTCTGTTGGTGTTGCTGAGTGGTCAGCGGGGCTGTTCGGGGACTGCGGGTCTTCCATATCTCGTTTTCCCTGGGGGATAGATTGTGTTATTACGATTCGTGTTTAGATTGGGGCTAACGATGGGTATCGTATCCATTACTCACTTGAGATTGAAACCAAATATGAGCAGGAGAGCGCAGATCAGTGTGAAATAAAAATACTTTTTCAGTGATATTTTTGGTCGTCGCATGGTGAATTATGTACACTTCTACTTCTCCTTGGAATGGGATCGGACCGCAGGTTGGAGGCCGATGAACCGACGTCAGTTGCGTCTTCCACCTTCAGCTACCTTTGTCATTTCGCTGTGCGAAAAGGAAAAGCAAATATTGAATTAAACACTCTTCGACTCTTTATCCAATCCTCCAGCCCCTCTGCACAACAACAGCAATAACAATAACAATAACAATAACAATAACAACGACAACAATGTGGTACTAATTACTCATGTTAATTATCTCAGACTCGTTCCACTCTGCTCTAGTTGGGGCTCTGACTCTGGCTCTGGCTCTGGCTCTGACTCTGGTTCTACTCCATTACTCTCTACATAGAGTCCCATCCGTGATGTTTGCTTGCTTAGACTCGCACCGAAAACTGTTTCGACCCAGCGATCGTGCGGCAGTACGAGTACTTACGCGTCCATAAACTGGCCTGTGCAATTATATTGTGATACTCGTATGCGGACACAATTCTCCAGGGGATGTGGATTTATTTGATAGTTCGAGCCGTTTAGTCTGATACGATCTGATGCAATCTGATACGATCTGTCGTTAAAGCGCAGCCTAACGAATCCATTCGATTCAAATGGTCGCCATTAGTTCCATTTCGCGTGGCATATTCCGGTCAGCCCTTTCTGTCCCACGTCTGAGAGTCGTGAGTCTGTCAAACGCAATCAATAAGTGCTCGGTATTCAGAATTCTTTAAACTGAATTTTGTACTTCATATTTGCCCTGCCTAAATATCGAAACAGATGGCTATCTGACTGGCTGGTGGATCGAGAGACTGTGTGTGAATCGTTTGTTTTCCACTCATTCGAGTTGTCTCGCCTCGAGAGCTGTGCCACATCGAGCAGCGGGGCGTATACGTAATAAAAACGAAAGAAGAGGCGGAACCAGCAGTGATTGTTGGATGGGTGCTTGGGTGGATGCCGGAAGGCAGAGTACGGCAATGAATGAAGTCAAAGCAGGCTACTTACAGCAGCTTTTATGAGTTTGGTTGTAAAGGGCGGCTAATTACGGGTGTGGGAAGAAGTAGGACCGGGATAGATGCAGCTTCATTTGTGGACACAAACAGGGTCTTATCCCAGGCAGCCCCACTAAGTGTCCATCCGTCTATCACATATCATTTATGGCACTATTTTGCATCATGTACGAGTCGTCTCTGTCTCTGTGTGTGTGTTTTTTTGCCTCTTGCTCTATCCGTATGCTTGTGTAGTGTGTGTGTGTGTAGTGTGTGTGTGTGTGTGTGTGTGTGTGTTCTTCTGCCTGCGGTTGCAACATCATTTAAGGATTGAGGTTCCGGGTTGGACGGTGCGCTACTTTGGTAGCTATGCAAATAAACTAGGGGCGAAATATTGGGGTTGGCACTGCACTTAAGTTGACTTCCCCATTCCGCAGTTTAGCCCCACCCCCTACTTCATTTGGGTCTTGACTATCGCATTTTGACGTTTTTGACAGGCAAACAGAGTAGAAACAGACAGACAGACGGAATAAAGGAAGCAGTTTGCATGAAAAATATACATACTTACACTCAGTCAGTCTTTTTGCAAAAGTAGGACTCCAATAGAGCACAGAGACACGGAAAAAGATATCTATGGACTGATGGGATTGACTGTGGCTAATGTGGCCTCTTCGGTATGGTATTCTTTACCAGAAATTCAAATGCAGCTGTCCACGATGTTTCACCGCTTTTCACATAATCACTTCGAGATCACAGTATTTTTAATTATTATGATACATATCGTACGACATCGTACTAGTAATACTAGTGTTCATGTTCCTAAGCAAAGACTCAGGCAAAACTAACCAGTTCTTTTACAGCTCTGGTCTATTTATTGCATTCAGGCTAATTCTCAACCAACATGTGGGATACGTTTTGAATACGTTTTCCCTATCAGTAGCGAAGACAGGCAAGAAATTTTTAGGAATTCAGTTGGGGGAGAACCTGAAATTGGAAGTCGATAAGCTGAAAATACATGATAAAATACCAACACTATTTTTCCCGGTACTCAGTCCGTTTATAAGGAATATTATGATTTATGTAACTTATACAATATATGTATTCGTGCACTGCTCTCCTCTATTCTTCTTTTTGCAACTAGTAACAAAAATTATATACTACACCAAATTTTCTTTGGTTCTTATAAGAGTATTTCTGAGATCTTGGTCACAAACAAGATCCACATGTTAGTACCCAAAGGAAAACACTTGCGGTCTACAGTTAATAGTCAGTCTTTCAAAGACATTGCGCAACCCAGCCAATTAAACGATTTCTATACCTAAACTTTTCCAGACGCAACTTTGACAACCCTTCCTCCTGCTTTCGGGCTACGTTCCTAATTAAAATGCTCACATCTAGTAGGGTGCGGGAGGCGTGACTGTGCCTACTGTCAAGGCACTTGATCTATGACTTTAGTGTGCCAATACGCCTATGTTATGTATATATAGGAGGACACAAACAGTGGCTGCTATAAGGGAAGGCTCTCAGCATAGGGGGAGGACCCATGCCCAGCACTTGACTTGCATGCATTGTTGTCCATGGATATCATATCCCGCAGACGTTACCCGGGAAATGTCATTTCATTGTTGTCTTCACTCTACACGTTTTGCCCCACCAAGAGCTCTTAGTCGAGGTTAGATTGGGTTAAACCGGCGGCCCTTTTGAAGGAGGTCATAGATTGGTGGAGCTCCTGGCGAGCCCCACTATTTCTTTGCGGTCGCCTCTACTCATAAAATGTTTATATTTATACTGTCGCACCGTCACAGGAGCAGAATGAGGAGCGGGCGGGGAGTCCTGCGAAGCAGGGCCCATCCGGTCGTGTTTCCACCCCGCGCCAGGCCATGCCGCGCTTTACGCACGCAGCCTGTCTGTCTGTCTGGCTGCCTGACTGTCTGCCCTGTGCGTTATGTCTGTCCCGCTCTCCATGCATGTATGTACATGTGATGTGTGTGTGTGTTTGGTCTGCGTGCCGTGTATCGTGTGTCTTTCTTGGAACGCAGTTGGCGAGTGCACTTACACAATTGAATCGAAGTTGTTGTTCCTGGTATCGCCACTGCTCCACTGCTGCTGCCTTAAACTCCTGCTCTTCCGATGGCTTTGCTAATTCGAACACATTTTTCAGTCTTTGTCATATTTGCACTTTCGAAATTTAGGCTCCCCAAATTGTTGTTTCAGGATTTTGTTAAATCTTTTTTCCACACATACGAGTGTATTGTATGTCCATACATACATATGTAAATAGTATCTATGAGGCGCAGAGGGCTGTCCTTTGCCTTTTCACGTAACTTTTGCAACTGCGCTGCCTGCCCACCCAAAGTGTAGCTGCGGCGCTGGCATCGGCATCGGCTGAGCTACGCTACCGTTGCTTTTCACCAGACAGCTGGCACCCGGGGAGAGAGAGCGAGAGAGAGTACGAGAGTAAGAGCGAGAGAGTCGTAGTTTTCGCATGCAGTTATCATGAAGCTGTTTAAACATCTAGTTGTGCGTCAAATTATTCTGCTAATTTATATTTGTTTAATACTCGCGAACTGCGCCTAAAAGATGCTTCAAAAGTTTATTCCCTTACCAAATTGACAAGTATTTTTGTACGTATTGCATTCTGCGCAGGCTCCGCTCTATTACCATTTCACAGCTGTCCTGTCCGGGGTACCGGGCTTCTTATCAACATTCCCAGGGCGGGTTTCTTTCAGCACCACCCACCCCCTTTGGTGGTGCATGAGAAATGTCCTATCTGTGGTTCTCGTACCGGCAATAGTTCCATCTCTCACTTATGTTTTTTGTTTTGCTTCTTAATTTTCTTTCAATTTTTCCATTCATTTGAAATGCCAAAGATCCCCAGTCAGATCTCACTTTCCCCTTTTATTGTTGTATACATTATTACAATTTCCGTTTATTTTAAAAGGCCTTTCAGTTGCTCGCTTTGTGGGTCCCCGTCTCCACGTCAACTTTATCAAAGGATTCCACAATTCGGGAACTTCTTATCGCTACCTTACACACAAGGTTCTGATTAAATATTCTTAAGAGTTAGACTAAATACGGAATTTGGGACGATAGCATACTCTTACAAACAGGCTTCTGAAAGTATGTTAATGCTCATGTTAAAATTAAACAGGTATACTCGTACATACATATATGTATGCATGAATATAGGTAACCTTACTATACTCTTATGTACATAGGGTTACAATTGTCTTATGGCCATGCTCAGAACAGATCCATACATATGGGTTTTTGTCTATGTGTGAATGTCGTAGCTTAGGCAGAACTGAAGGTCTCGTAGACATTAGCCCCCAACGTCTTGGACTTCTCCGCCACCAAGTAAAATGAAAGCAGCTGCGTGGGTAAGTTGGTAGACCGCGCCGAACTGTCATAGCCCCCCGAAGTAATCCCACTGATGATTGGTATCAGCTTGGCCATGGCCATCAAAACCGTGTTGATGTTCAGCAAGTTGTTATTATCGACCGCTTGGCTGCTGGGAAGGGAGGTACTGCTGGAGCTCTGATTGAACTGCTGGGACTGCTGCGTCTCCGCTTGCTTCTGCACTTCTGCGGTGGGCAGATGGTGCAGAGTCTCGCCAAGGGACTCGGCAATGACATCGCAGGCCAGCACAAAGCCTCGGGTTACATTATGCGTACACACGCTAATGGCATCCTCACTCTCCAGGAGATCCAGCGTCTCATTGTACATCTGCTGGAGCAACGGCGAGAAGCTGGAACTTTGAGAGGGCAGCAGGTACTTCGTCATCTTGGAGTTTGGATCTCGGCGAGTGTCCGCATTTATGGCCATTTGCAGAGACCAAAACAGCTGCTCCAGGTCGTTGAGGGAGAGCTGACGTGAGAGGGGCATCGACGACTTTACCACTGCGATTACCTGAGTCCGAATATACCGAACGAGATCTCTGATACCGTCCTCTGTGATGAAGTGACGGATCAGTGAGAGATACTGCTGCTTAAGCTCGTCAGTGATTCGTGTCTGCTCCGTCGTGATGTCGCGGTAAATGTATCCACCTAAGAGATTCAGTTGCACTCTGAGGGCAATCACCAACATAGACGAGGCGTAGACGAACGTGGCTAGGCGGGTGAACGCCACGACCTTCATCTCTTCCCACAGTTCTACTTTGTTTTTTGGATTCTGACGCAGTTGCTCGAGCAGCTCGTCCGTGCTGCACTCCCTCAACACAGCGTCACACATCTCCTCGCCCAGGCCCAGGATCACTTGGTTGCAAGTCTTTTCCGTCGACTCGAAGTGATGCGTGCGCCGCGTCCGCTCGAACATCTCACGCGCCTGTTTCTCGTGAATCTCCACAAGCTTCCGTTGGGCGTACCGTGCCGCACAGTAGGCGCCACCCACCAGCACTCCGGTCACGATAAACTTCCGGCGGTGGCGTGACAAGAAGTCCTGCAGGCGTGACAGCATGTTTGTGATTGGAATTGGGCTTTTGTTAACTGTTCGATTGCGTCTTCTCCGACCTAGCTAGTGCGTGTGAAAAGCGCCAACTGCTCGTACTACTTTTTCGTCCGCCGGCTGCAGCTCCAAAAGAGACATGTTCGAAATTAATAAATGTTTAATGTACAAAGTTCATTTGTGTGAGTTAGTTAAGCCCTGACGACGGCGCTGCCGTGGTGCCGTTATTAGTCGCACAGATTAGATTAGCCGAATTACTTACAAAATTCTGCTAGATCGCTGTGCCCTGGTTGCTGGCTCTTGCCCGCTTTCTATTGATTCGATTGTGAGTTTCGTTGTTGGTGCATTAGCACGGATTTTTATTTGGAATGTACGTAAATAAATTGTTGATGTTAAAGTGTTTGGTTTGTGGTGTTGGGTTAATCGTTGTAATCGTTATTTTCTGTTCACCATCCAGAAATTATATTTGTCGTTTTTTATATTCGGTTTAGTGTTACTAGCTAGCTTGGACCCTCAGCCATGAACATATAATTTTAACCGATTAATCAATCAATTTTCTGCAAAATTGGACAGTTTTAAGTGCTTCCTTTTATTTTATTGTTTATAAAGTAAGGTTCAAACAAAAAATCAAAACTTGGAATGTACGTAAATATATTTGTTGTGACCGCGGATTCGATAAAATATACCGTCTTACCCTTACAAATATACCGGCTTAATCGTTCTCTATCCGTGATCGGAAATCATATTTCTCGATTTTGATATTCGACTTAATATTACTTGCTAGCTATAACCCTCCGCCCTGAATACATACTTTTATTCGATTAATGAATAAATTTTATATAAGTCTGGCTAGTTTTAAATCCTCATATTATTGGACTGTTTATAAAATCAAGTTAACTAAAAAAGGTCATCATTTTTACATAGTAACTACACATGTGCACCGCACAGTGAGGTGAGTCCATTGCGCGTCTCATTTTTAGTATTTTTTCAATATCAAAGAAAATTGCAAGGTGTATGACGTAGAGAGGGAACGAAATTTCTAACACTTTTATCTTTCATAACATCATGAATGTTCACTCACGATTTTCTATTGTTTACATATCAACAGAAGAATAATATATATGTATTTACATTATTGTACATACGATGTCGTCGTCGGAACGAAAACTAATTATTGTGTCTGGTTTCGGACCATTTATTGGACATGAGGAAATCAATGCCAGTTGGGAGGCTGTAAAGCTGCTGCCGGAGCTGCTCACCCACAATGGCATTGAATATGACCTGGAGAAGCGTCTGGTCTCCGTCGAGTACGAAGCAGTGGATGAGGCGTGCGCAGAGATATGGAGCCGCCAGCCAGAGGCAAATATATTTTTTTAAACCCTAGATCTTTTACCTGCGATATTGACGTCATTTATTCAACACAGATGGTCATACATGTAGGAGTATCGGGTATAGCTCAATGCGTTTATGTGGAGAAGCTGGCCTATAACCACAAGTTCCGACGGCCAGACAATTCCGGACAGTATTTGTCCAACGGCAGTTGTGTCCTCCCGCACAATGGCAAGGCAAATGTACTGCGTTGCGGCCTTGACGTTGATAAGATTGTAGAGGCTGTAAATGCAACATGCGAGGCGTGTGTGGCCCCCGCAATTCCGAACAACAGTCATAAGTCTTTAGGTGCCACGAGGGCTTCCAAAAATGTGGGCGATTTTCTCTGCGGTTACATATATCTGAAATCTCTCGACGTGGACTCCAAGCGGAGTTTATTCGTGCATGTCCCCGCTGTAAATAAACCATTTAGTACCGACCAAACGGCAGATATTGTTTTGAAAATCATCGAACAATGTGTGCAACAGGTGGCCGCTTCTGAATGCACAAATTAAGTTCCAGTTAATGATATTTACCATTAACTTTCTATAGAAAAGATCCAATATACAACATTCATGCATACATTAAAGGAGACTTTTACGAATTACTCTTTTTTAATGCCTTATCTCTTTAGGATCATGTGACGAAGCAGGAAGTTTAACGATATGCAGACAATACAACTCCGAAAATAAATCCATATGTTCCCATTACATTGATTCAACAATAATTTATTATTTTTAAAACAGAGATGAGTTTTATCCGGCAATCCGTTATACCACAAAATATATTAAATATACAAACAAAAAAATCCGCGCATTTCCTTTCCTTTACCGTTGGCAACATTCCAAGTGTTTGGGAATCGAATGCATGAATAGGCAAAAACATTTTGATCTCAAGAAAGAGTTAAATTGAACAGCTCAAAAGGCTAAATGGATTTCAAAGGAGCTTGGAAAGCAATTTGAACATTAATTGAAGAATTTATTACATATTAAAGATGTCACTGGGTCTCCTGCGCGACCTTCTGGTCTTGTTTTGAGCTAGATGAATTTGCTTGTATATCGCCTTATCTCCTAGTTCTCGGTTGCCCAGAATCTTGCCATATCCTTTGATCAGGTGGTATAGTTTCGTGTCTGGTGAAGCAACTATCATATCGTTATTTTTGATATCATCTTTTTTGGAAAGAACAGAGGGATACAGCTCTGCTATCTCTGCGTCGATAGCGGAATCAAACTGCTCGTCTGTGTCCGTGGAAAGGGGCTCATTCTGTGTGCGTTTGATGCAGAATTTCTCATAGCGTTTATTGGCTTCCCTTAAGGCCGAAGTCTTTATCTGATTCATGTCCCAGGAAACGTCTAGCTTGGACTTGATTTCATCGGATATGGTATCGTCATTTTTTGATGAGAAAAGCCTGTCAAACATTTTCTTCAATTCGTCTGAATCCTGTTCGTCAAAGGAGCGGACTAGACGATCGGTTTCCGCCAGAGCGGGGTCCATTTCCCGAATTGCATTTTCCGCGTTGGCTTTAGCTGGAGATTCTTGGTATTGTTTTTGTGATAAATCGTTTTGTGGCCAGTCTTGGAGTGAGTTTTTTTGCGCAGTATCAAAATTCAGGTCCGGAACATACTGGATATCCTTTGGGAGGTACCCGCGACTCTCCAAGTAACCAATCGGGGATTGCCAGCTGTCTATGAGGTCTTGGACGATTTTTTTTGCAGGGTTCTGGTAATTGGGAACCTCTAAATTATGCGCAGAGGCGGTATAAAATATTAGAAAATTTATAGTGTACAAAATCATTGAAACAGCCGTGTTTAAAAAATCAAATGATATCGATGACTTTTCATTGACAGCTAAGACAGCGGTATACTATATAATTTGTTTGTATCGGTATATAATGGTATGTACCATAAATCCATTTAATTTCTTTTTCAATTTTATACTTAAGAACATAGGGTATTGTTTCTTTTTCCCACCCAAATTTTCATATATATATCCACTGGTGAAAGATATCTTGGTAACTTTTCTTGTAAGGAAATAGAATGGTATATATAATATCGGTATATTTACGGTATATTTTGCTAATCTGACAGTTATTTCAGTATATTCTGATGGTCAGAAGGTGTATGTAGTTATAATGTTCAATTGTTGATCTCTTTTGCCTAAGCCCCATTTTATAATTTTATAACAATCCAATAATGACAAGTTTTTAAAAATAACCATTTTTTTATCATACTGATTAGATTGTCGGATATGAAATATTTTCAGTGCTAAAATCGAAGAACACGATTGAAATAATTCGTCGGTATGTTCACGGTATATTTTGAAAATGATACGGTATATTCCGAGCGTCAGACGGTATATAGACGTGGCGCTGTCACTCACCCTCTCGCGTCCCGTCAAACCGACAAAACCGACAAACAGAGAACAGAACAGCACCAGTTGCAACAGAAGTGTGTGATATACCCCAACATATTACTTAGCATATAAAAGTGGCCGCGATGAAATTCCTAATCTGTACACTACTCGCCGCGGCTTTCTACGTGGCCGCTGCCGAAGTCAAAGTTGAGGAGGGGGTTCTCATTGCGACAGTGGACAACTTTAAGCAATTGGTTGCCGACAATGAATTTGTGCTAGTTGAGTTCTGTAAGTATTTTTGTATTAGAAATCTTAAGTAAATATTATATTTGCGCGCCGGCTGACGCTTTCCGCTTTCCGCTGGCTGATTCATGCGATTTCGCGGCTACGTGGTCTTTTGACCGGGAGCAAGTGGAACGAGAACGAAGCATCGAAAAATATGTCTGCGTGGCAGTTGGTAGCCCAAAAAAATTGTTGCTTGATGCGAGTATGCGACGCCTGTGGGAATTCAAGGAAAAGAATTGGAGTTTACCATAACAAGTGAAAACTCTTTAGTTGCTTTTCCAGCACTTTTATCGCTTTTTTAAACGTTTTTATCTTTCACATCAACGAGAGAGCTGAGAGTTGCGCTCTCTCACAGTTTTCCCCTCTCTCTTCGTTTGGTGCAACTGTCATCTCTTTTCAACGCGCACATCTTGCACCTGTGTGTGTGTGCTCGGGGATGGGTGTGAGAGCGAGCAAGCGAACGCTGTGTTGTTATTGTTCCTGTTGTTCCCATAAAAGTGCCATAAATTCTAAATGTTAAATGTCGAGACAATGCTTATGCGCAGTATTACCTTCAGGAAGCACACTTTTGCTAACTGCTCCCTCTGCTTCAGGTCCTTGGACATCAAGATAGAGTTTATTGTTCCCGTCCCGTATGTTTCACTTTTATCAGCAATATTAATGCTGCCTGCCCACTGCTCGCTGCCCTGGGCGTGGCCAAATCGTGCCCACGCATTCGCATCCGCTTCATCAATCTTGCGTTAGAAAGAAACAAAAGTAAATAAAAGTTGTCGGGCAACTCTTCATTCGAATCTAGGTTAGACAAGCAAGATATTCTTTATGTGTACAATCTTTTCGCTATATGCTTTCTATTCTGGTTTTGGTTTCCGCTCTGTGCCCTTTTCTACGTCGGCGCGGCCACGCAATGGAAAGTTCATTCAACTCTTTCATTGCGCATGCTTAACGGTGCTGTGGCTGCCAGTGCTGGCGCATGTAAAGAGGAACAGATTTAGCTAACGAAAAAAATGTATAATGAATGGCCTCAAAGATGTTTTCAAAGTACTGTATCCGACAGCAAAGAAATCGAGAATCCATTCGCTCCTTATCTTCCCGCAAATGAACACACTTCAGAGATAAACAAAAATCAGTGATATAAAAAAAGTCCCGTCCCTGTATTACTTCAACCTTTAAAAGCCAGATATGTTTGGCCGGCATCTCTGGTTTCGCCAATATGGCGACGACGCATGGTTTGTTTATGCCAGCGTTTACGCTTTCGGAGTGTGAATGACAACGTCAGCTAAGTTACTTATTGGTGCTGCGGGTCATCCGCATCAGAAATCTTATCTTCGAATATTTTCTTGCTGTGTGTGCCTGTGCCTGTGCCAATGGCAATGCCAAGGCGAATGGCCCGGCCACGTCAGCCGAAGCCGAAGCTAAGTCAAGCCGGTGATAAGCAGGGCCTCTTAAGACGTTGTCAAGTCGTTATTATGTCATCTCGCCGTGGTAGATGTGTGCGTGGATGCGTGTTAAATTGCAGCTGGGGCTGCAGGCAGGCAATGGGAATACACCACGTGGAATTTGCATAATGCCAAACAGCTGGTCGAAGTAGAACAATGCGAACGGGCCCTGCTCCAGATCCGTGTCCAATGTAGCGAATGCGATTACAATTAACAGTCCAAAATTAGAATTTTCCGTTTGGATGCCAATTGCAAATGTCTGTTAGTATTACTATTACAATTACTATTACTATTGAATAACGACCCTGCCAGAATGAGATAAAGAGAACAGAATTCCGTTTTCTAATTGCACTCTTCCCCCTCTTTCTTAATCCTTCCAGATGCTCCCTGGTGCGGACACTGCAAGGCCCTCGCTCCCGAGTATGCCAAGGCTGCTCAGCAGCTGGCCGAGAAGGATTCACCAATCAAGCTGGCCAAGGTCGACGCCACCGTCGAAGGTGAGCTAGCTGAGCAGTACCAGGTGCGTGGTTATCCCACACTCAAGTTCTTCCGGAGCGGTGCTCCAGTGGAGTACAGCGGGGGTCGTCAGGCCGCCGACATCATCTCTTGGGTAACCAAGAAGACTGGACCACCTGCCAAGGATCTGACCAGCGTGGCCGATGCTGAGCAGTTCCTCAAGGACAACGAAATTGCCATCATTGGTTTCTTCAAGGATACCGACTCTGAGGAGGCCAAGACCTTCACCAAGGCCGCCAACGCCCTGGACTCGTTTGTCTTCGGAGTGAGCAGCAATGCCGATATTATTGCCAAGTACGAGGCCAAGGACAATGGCGTGATCCTGTTCAAGCCCTTCGATGACAAGAAATCTGTGTTCGAAGGCGAGCTCACCGAGGAGACTCTGAAGAAGTTCGCTCAAGTACAGTCTCTGCCCCTGATTGTGGACTTCAACCACGAGTCGGCTTCAAAGATCTTCGGAGGCTCCATCAAATCCCACCTGTTGTTCTTCGTCTCCAAGGAGGCCGGACACATTGAGGCCCATGTCGATCCCCTTAAGGAGATTGCTAAGAAGTACCGCGATGATATTCTGTTCGTTACGATCTCGTCTGATGAGGAGGACCATACCCGCATCTTTGAGTTCTTCGGTATGAACAAGGAGGAGGTGCCAACCATCCGTCTGATCAAACTGGAGGAGGACATGGCCAAGTACAAGCCAGAGTCGAACGATCTGTCTGCCGAGACCATTGAAGCTTTCCTGAAGAAGTTCCTCGACGGAAAACTGAAGCAGCACTTGCTGTCCCAGGATCTGCCCGAGGATTGGGATAAACAGCCCGTCAAGGTCCTTGTCTCCAGCAACTTCGAGAGCGTCGCCCTCGACAAGAGCAAGTCCGTCCTGGTTGAGTTCTATGCTCCATGGTGCGGCCACTGCAAGCAGCTGGCACCCATATATGACCAGCTGGCCGAGAAGTACAAGGACAACACCGACATTGTGATTGCCAAGATGGACTCTACTGCCAACGAGCTGGAGAACATTAAAATCTCATCCTTCCCCACAATCAAGTACTTCCGTAAGGATGACAACAAGGTCATCGACTACAACTTGGATAGAACTCTGGACGATTTCATCAAGTTCCTCGATGCCAACGGTGAGGTGGCCGATGCCGAGCCCGCAGAGGAGACCGAGGAGGAGGAGGAGGCGCCCAAGAAGGACGAGTTGTAAATCCAACAACAATAACAAATAACATAAACAACAAAAGCAAACACGAAAATCCAACAACAATGAACAGCAACATCCCTAAAACAAACAACAGCAACAACAAATAGCAACGTACATTCTGTAGTTTATTTCTATATTCTATTTTTATGGGGTTGTCGAGCACAGGCTCGGCCAGAATCTCCTCATCCAGCAAATGAGTTTTTATCATTTGGCTGTTGGGTCAGGTCAGCTGGTCGCCCGCCCGTCCGCCATCCCAGCATTTGCCACTCAATTTTATCTTCGCGTTATCAATTTTACAATTTTGTTGTTTGTATCTGTACTTGCAACGCAACTTTCAACGCTCTCTTCAGATGTTCCTGTCGATTGCGTAAACTTAAAATTCAGTTTTATTGAAGAATGAAGCAAAAGCGATAAATTTTAATATGTAATTCTTTAAGTTTTCTTTTTTTTTGGAATTTTTAGAATCATTGAAAGAACTGATTAAGAACTTAACAAATAAAGTTGGTAACAACATTAAAACCAGAAAAAACCAAGCCCTTGTCTGATGCCCTTGCAGATCGAACGTTGCTAGAGTGTCTCATCTGATTTTGTAAAAATTTGGCCTGGAAATGCTGTACATATGGAGTTCTTTACTGATTTAAAAAGCCTGTCTGCATAGTAGCCTGCAGGACCAAAACGAAATGGCTATGTCCTCTCGGTTATTGATGGTGATCATACACGCTTAATGAGGGGTCAGGTCAGAAGTATATTTATCCGCACATGTCCTACGATCCACATTGCATACACACTGAGAGAAAACTCCGCAGACTAAAAAATCTTTAAAGGGATCGCATCTTTTCTTTCGTCTCTTTAGATGGCATTATCATCTCGTGACAATTCATTAGAGAAATAAAAATTAAATTCTGAACGAAAGAGAATTAACATAAAACCGATGGAAAGGGTCTGCACCCATTTAAAATCTAGTCCTAACTATCAAACATACATATAACTATCATTACCACAAAGGG